GCCTTGCATTTTTCTCGTTTATTCCTCCTTTTCCTCACTCTATTCCACCCCTGATCTCCACTGAAATACTGTACTTTATAATACAGCAGGTGGGGGAAAAAAAGCTTTGGTAAAACACCCATATATGGACTTTACATACGGATTACAATCTTCAGTCTAATTTCGTGGCTCTCAAACGGATATCTATGGGGTCACACTATGATTAAAAGGATCAGAAAGGGGAAAAAAACAACATTTCTGTCGCACAAAAATATGTGTGACTTTTAGTAGTTGTGTTATTTTCTTTTTTTCGTTGAATTAGTGGATACTTTCACCTGTTCACGCCCATAAAAATCCTTCACGTCCAACACTTTATGAGGTCATAAACTAGGGATCACAAGCACATATTGCTGCCATATTGCTACATTTTAACGGGCCAAAAGCCCAAAAAAAAAAAGGTTGGGAACCACTGTTCCTACTGATCTGCATGTCTTTGGACAGTGAAGGAATACTGAAGGAAACAAACATGCAAACTGTATACAGAATCTTTTGGCTGTTATCTGAACCTCCGAGGCATCTTGCCATTAATGGGCCAAATGTCTATATATTTGTGTAAACGAGAGAGAAAGGGTGATTCAAAGAGACAGAGAGCAACACATTAAAATGAGAGAGGCTGTGACAGCCACAGAAGGAGACAGACTGTCTATCCATGCTTCACTTTGCCTGTAGCACACATTTACAGAATAACTGGGGATATTCAAGCTGCTTAAACATTCAGAGTCTTGTCACTGATGTTAAATTGCCTCTTCTTAGCGAGCAAATACTGGGGGAGCATATAGATAATAACAAGACAAACAAAAACTATTCATCTGTTGAAAGCTGGCACTTGTTTTGAATGAAGTGTCTGTTGAGATAAGAAATGGCTGCCACAGACATCTTACAAGGCGTGCAAACAAAACCTGATTTCACTTTATCAAATGCTGTCTGTCACTTTTCATCTGATCATGATGCAACATGGACAGCGTCTTGTGTTGGGCTCGTCTTGCCACAAACCTGTGAATGAGAGTGGAAGGGCCAAGCATTTGTTGAGCTAACCTTAAAGCTACTATATGAAAAGTATGACAGTTTATATGTATTTTGTATCTTTGTATTGCCAATGTGTGAACGGACTGTAATGTCATTCAAACACTGAGACCTTCACAGACTTTCTCGGTGGCCTGTAACTGCCTGTGGACTGATTTATATGTAAAGTAATTGGAATGGCTTTGCCAGGTAAATCCAAAGACGTGGCTGGCCAATTGATCAGCATGCCATTTTCAGCTAATGTTACGGAGCTAAGGTTAGCCAGCTAGCTGTAACTTAGCTATGCAGCATGGATCTGGTGTTGGGTGCTTTGTAACGTTAGCTAATCAAATAACTTGCAAACGGCAAGCTTGTTAGTTTCATGGAGCCTGTGATCCAAATAAAATATAGGACCCTTACAGATATTAAAGTTATTCTAAATATGATATATGGTTATAATGTAATGTCTCAATCGTGCGTACAGAGTGCGAGCACACACGCAAGCAACAGGATGTTAATTGCAGTTTATGAAGGCAAATCACTGTCAAAATCGGGGAGCGCAAATGAGATCCACACGCGCGCGCAAATCAAACAGCCGTGCGCATATTTTACTTTGACGAGCGCTTTTAAATCACTCCGCGAGCAAAATTCCGTCTCACGCAAGAGGGAATTTTGCTGTAATTAGTTGCTGTAATACAAATTGTTCCATTACTTCCAAAAAATTGTTTTCCCTCAAGCTGAGTAGAGTTCAAAATCAGGGGCATTTAATCGTCCTTAAAAAGCTTCAACCTTCAAAGCACAGGAAAAGTGACTGACATGGAGCATCTCCTGCACTGAGTCAGTGGTTTTGGATTGACAGCAATAAGTTCTTAAGACATTTTCACAAAGAGTAAAAAAGTGTCAAATGTTATCCGTCACTTCAATGATCACTTGTCGCCGTTGTCTGTTTCTGATTACAAAGTATGTCGTATTTCCAAAGGGGATTTGTTGGCAATGCTTTGTCAGACAACTGCTTTTAAAACTTTGCTAAGTGTGTCTCAAACTACTTTTCCGTCACATTCAGGGAAATAACAATGCGTAAAACTTCTGTACCTGTTCTCATAATTATCTTTCTTTTTTTTTTAAATGTTGAGCTGTGAGGACTTTACACAGCAGGGGCGGGACAAATACATGAGACGAGAATACTTGACTGCTAATACTTTGCATCAAAACTATTCATTCTGGCAACGATGCCAATAAGCAAAAGTTGCAGCACTTTTTCAATAAATGATTTGAATGGATTCACACAGGTCTGTCTGAGGTAAATCGTTGTGTAGCCCGAGCTAATGCAGAACAGAAGGAGTGGATCTGGCCTTTGTCGATGTTGAAAGGAGTAATAAAGTTGGCCGTCTTGGTTCAGACCACAGAGAATCCATGTTGTTGTACAGTATGAGTGCATATTTTGAATATGTCAGTCACGCAAAGCGTGATTGGTCCATTATTTGCGATGTAATGTCTGTCAAAGTTCTCATGACAAAACAGTTTGACGTACAAATTACATTACAGTCATTTAGCAGACGCTTTTATCCAAAGCGACTTACAATTCAGATTCTATCACATTTCTACACCGTAGGCACAGCTACGGGAGCAATTTTGGGGTTAAGTGTCTTGCTCAAGGACACATCGACATGCGACTAGCAGAGCCGGAGCCGGGGATCGAACCGCCGACCCTCTGATTGAAGGACGGCCCTGCTATCCACTTAGTCACAGTCGCCCCCCAAATGAATTAATCGTACAAAAAAAGAACTCCCCCTTTGGTTAAAGTCCTTTAAGAATCAATTCATGAAAAAAAAAAGTTAAATATATGAGTTGACGCAAGGAGCGTTAAAATCAGGTCATAACCGGCATTTACACCTCAGTCATTCTCTCTGTTGACTCTGATTTCTGTAAAAAGCCTTTTTCAGATAACGAACGTTATCTTTCTGTAAAAGTGAAAACTTTTTTCATTCAGAGATTCAGACGTTTCTTTTTGTGTTATTGTTCCTTACGGCTTCATTCAGACATGGCAGCACATTTCCTTAAAGAGCCACAGTGCTCGTGACATATTTGTTACCAGTTGCAAGTGAGAGTTAAAAATATCATCATGTTAAAGAACAAGACTGTTGTCTTTTCTCTCACGGGCTGCAAAGTGAATCTACCGATTCATTTTGATACTGATAATAAATACATTTCAATATGAAGTTATTAGAAAGTGAAGATGGGACCTTTCGTTTTAATCCTATGACATTTTTGTGCTTTGCTGTACATTGATTTATTCATATATGCAGTTGGAATTAAAATTGGACAGATTACTACTGTGGTTATAAATCTCAACAAGCACAGTGCTTTTTTCAGACATGTGACTGACATGTTCAATTACCATCAGATAAACCTAAAGAGGTGCGTGTCCGAGAGGGCTGTATTTCTACTCAAGCTACTTTTTAAAAAGGTTGAAACTTTTCCAATCTTGCCGGTTGGTTTCTGTCAGTTCTTGCCGTTTCTTGAAGCAGTCACGGTGTCCTGCTGCCACTCAACCTATCTGGCAGGGCACTGACTATCAAAAGCATTACGCTGCTAATTGAAAACTTGCTTGGCGGTTAGCACATTTTCAAAGCATTAGAGCAACCGCAGCTATGATTAATATACACCTGTCATAACTAATTACGTTAATGCCGAAGAATGATTCGGCCCGTCTTGCTGCGTCTTCCTCCGTCTCTACTCCATCACACTCTGCTCTCTTGAGTGATGGATGTGAGGTGGCCTTGCCTTTGAGGGGACAAACACAAAGAGATCATATAAACAAGACATGAGAGCGTCCACCAAAATAGCCTTGTTTGCTCTGCCATCATTACGGTTGTTGAATTATTTCTTGTTCAGCTTTACCAATTCCCACTGAATCAAAACACTTTCATTATATCAAATGTATCAATCGGCACTGGCTAATTATATATATATATATTTTTTTTATTTTTTTATTTTTATTTTTTTTATTTATTTATTTTTTTTTTTTTTA